CCCCCAACACCAAGAGAAGTTAAGATTTAGGAACCCACAACACAAGGTAAGTGCGTCGAGGGAATAATCCAAACAAGAAAACCCTCATATATATACCATATATCTCAAATTGTAAGTTGCTAAATCTTAACTCCAAACCCTATAAACAAGAAATAACGAAATACACCACAAACACCTTATCCAAGACATGTCATGCATGCCAAAACACAGTATCTCACACTACCCTCGGGTAGGTGGCACATGAGCAAATATACAAACCGGTTAAGTCCTTGTCAAAAGCATTTATCGTCACATATGAATGCCACAATGTTGGACTACATCCATAAACAGTACTCGCCTGAGTCCTAGGCGTCCCAAAGATGTAGAGTGTAGTCGTCAGCGGTATCATGCGGCTCACGGACTAACGCACTCGGAGTGTTGTTGCCTGCAATATCATGTGATGCACTGACAAGTGCACTCAACCACCTAAACAAAGATGCATCACGGAGTGTAGTCGCTCACAATCTCCTGTGGTACACAGACTAATGCACTCAGAGTGTAGTCGCCCACGTTCTCATGCGATGCACAGACTAATGCACTCAAGCATCCAAAATCATTGTAAACCAAAACAATAGTTACTCCCTATCGTGACAAACATAAAACATTAGACTACGCACTCCCAAAGGCCCATGCGTGCTCAAACCCAATATGTGCACTCCCATGGTCACACACGTGTATCGACGTGCGGCTCGTACTTCGTGTTTGCGACCAAACGTACGTGGAAGATCAACATATGCAGAATAGCACCAGATCAGTCGACTACCCTTGGGGATCAGTTGACTGTCATTCGATTGGTCGACTGATATCCCATTGGTCGATCAGGCGGCGACATGCACAAACATGCACAAACAACAAATCTCGATCGGTCGCTTGATGATATATTCGTCGACCGACCAGAGAGCAACAAAAGCAACAGGTCTCGATCGGTCAACTGATACCTTATTGGTCGACCAACCAGAGAGAAAACATAGAGTTCTGAATAACCGATCGGTCGACTGATCAATACGATTAGTCGACCGACCTAAACGCTGAAACGAAAACTGTCGGTTTTCTAGGGTTAAATAATTTTCTCAAAAATTTGTAAATTAATAACATGGGGTGTGAAACATGATTCACAACCTTTCATTTGCTTAAGTGGGAACTCAGACAAACAAGTATTCATCAATAAAAACATGGATTTGGGGATCAAATTTCCCTAAACATCACTAATCAGATTTAACTTGATTAATTAGGGTTCATATCTTAATCAATTCGTCAATTAGCCAATATTTAGAGTTTCCAATCATCAAGATCGTGTCTTTTCGTTGTTTAATGATTAGATCTAAAGTTCTATTCATAAATTTTTAGGGTTTAAACCATTAAAAACGAAATTCAAAGGGGATGAGTTTAGAAATAGATGAACTTGCCTTTAGATGGGTTTTTGATCTCTATAACGCGAGAGAAACTCGATCCTCCTTCACAAAAGTCGTAGATCTCGTCCTCCTCTAGATCTTTGCTTCACGAAATTTCTCCAAAAACAAATTGAGAAAATTAGGTTTTAGAGAGGGGGTGGCTGCTGCTAGCTTAAACGTGAGGGAGATGAAGGAGGAGAGATAAATTCGGGTATATATACATACACACACACACACGATAGACCCGATCAGAACTACCCGACCCGAACCCTAGTGGACTGATAGGTCGACCGGTCCTTTGAATATGGTACGTTTTGCGTACAAGGCACAAAAAAGATGATTCTTGGTAGTGAGCGTTGGCATAATCCCATCCACTCTATTCAAATGGTTGTATATCCCATGCACTCCTCAACCCCATGTGATTGAATCCCTATTTCGAATTGAGTGCAGGTGATTGTACCCCTCTACTACCAAGCTACCAAAATTTATGTTGGTTACCAAGCATACACATTTTCTCTAAAACTCCTCTCTCTCTCTCAATGATTTATAGTTATATATAGTATATATATATATATAATATATAGTATATAGAGTAAAACTTGTGGCAACTTAAGTGGATTTAGGGCAATAGTGTGTCACCAAAGTTCGTTTAACACTTATATTGCCTAGGGATCCTTGTATTATATAAAAAGGTATCTTTATATTACATAATAGTGCTGGTACAAACTTTGGACGTGGAATCAACTTAAGTTGATACGGAGTTTGCTATATATATATATATATATATATAATATATATATATCTATATATATATTATATAATAAATATATAATATATTATATATATATATATATATATAATATATATATATTATTATATATATATATAATATATATATATATTAATATACTATATATATATATATATAATATTATATATTGATTGACATTATGTGATGTTCGGCTCATAATCTTATTCGTGAGGCTAGGTACTCAACCGGTTCATCAAATTCATGATTCACCCAATAGATTTTGTTCAAATTATCATCAAATATATGTGGTGAAACTTTTTCTATAATATGAATTGTGATCATTCAAATCACCACAGAATAATCCAGAATAAGATGGTTCGTGCGAAGTAATGAAGAAATGATGGGGGACCGCTTC